GCTGGCTTCAAATGCTACCTATAAATTTGAATGCGTAGGTTTTTTGGTTTCATTATTTTTATCAGACGAAAACATGTCGATGTCTCTCTGTCCGGAAATTTCGACATGTTCATTGTTAGCTGATGTTTAATCAAACGCAGTCTTCAGACTTGGAAACCGAAAATAACTATACATTTACTCAGCGGTGAGGTGGCTGAAGAGAAAAAACAAATAAACCATCAAAAATCAAAACAAAAAAGGCAAAAAAATCCTCTGTTTTCAAGTCTTGTGATTTCAGCTGCCGTTCAAAAGGTCGTTTGGATTGTGACCAAACGCGTGAAAAATGCACCCAAAGACTATTTGAACATTTTTTGTTTTGATCGCAAATAGTTTTCGCGTGAGTCAGAGTATTTCCTAATCCAGGTATCTATTTGTAACAGACACCGGGTAAAAAAGACAAAAAAAAAAGAGGGGAACCGGCAGTTTTCTTGGCACGCATAAAGGTGATAAGCCACTTAAGTTCTTAAGCAAAAGTATTTATTATATAAGTCTATTGTTGAGCTAGAAACATCGCGAAAGTAAGGAAATTAGTTTTACTCGGTGAATAGCTTGAACTTATCGTCAGATAATGCGGGCGGAGCTTTGAACATCACCATAAAGGATACCTACGCCCGCGCATTTCTTTTATTATCTACAAAATCAACATAATTTTTGGAAACCCTCGAAATCAAATTAGGTTTAAATTGAAAATTTGGCTCAAAAATTCTGACCGCAAGGTATTAATTCCATTAAAGTGCACACTTTGGGCCGCGGAAGTCGCCGCGGCGTATTGTGTAATGATTACTGCGAGGTGATTTGGATTGAAGTGTTCAATATAATACTATAATGCAGAAAAATTGCTGACGTGTGTCTGCTTATAACTTTTGTGGCGATACAAAATACAAAATCTGGCATTTTATTAAAATAAATTTGTTATGAATCATTTAGCTAGTTGATAATTAGTTCGTCATTTAGTTAATCAGTTTAGTACGATTTAATCTTTCGTTTATGTCTCGAGTGTATTTAACGTATCAACTCGAATTCCGATGTTATTTACGTTTACGCTGACGGGATGACTTTCCGACTTGTGACAGCCTTGTCTAACTTCTCTAAGTGGATTGCTAAGTTTGTTTACTGACCTTGCTTTGGACCCACGTGGAAGTTCATATTTTGGCTGACGCAATCAGAGGTTGACTCTGTTGAACGGAAGCATTATGATAAAATACTTCGTTATTCATTTCGGAAGTCTCGTGAAATTGTTTGGTTTAGCGTTACAACAAAAAATAGTTCAATCTCCCAAGCAGAGCTGGCTGGCATTACCACCTATATCTGTCAGTAGTGACTATTAAAGCTTTTTCTTTATAGGTTACTCAGGAGAGTAGAGAGAAGAGAGAGGAAAGCAGACTAGGCGAGTGAAGACATTGTGCAGAAGAGTAGAGCCAAACTTTTGTGGTTGAAGAAGAAGTATTTAGTGAGAATCAGAATTTGAGAGCCTTAGAGATTAACAACAGTTTCACAGAATGAAATAAGCTTGAATGTTAGTAGAATTGTGTATTGGATCCAGAGAACCGAGTAATGAAAGAAAAAATTGAAAAAGGTATTTCCAGAGTATTGGTGCCTTTCGCCGAGCATGGTGTGCTCTTAAGCTGGTTTCGTTTTAACAAATTATTCTAATTGCGTTCTTATCGAGACTTGTTGTTCCTCAAATATCATACTAAAATATCTGTTTTATACGCGATACTTGAAAGGATCAATACCATAACACAGCCAATGATAACGGCTTCAATTAATATCAGAGCAAATGAAGTGGTCATCATTATGTTGAGAAATTGTCATAGAGCACGACCACATGTCAACGGATGTTGGCATACTTTAAACGAAATAGTTTGGAAGTATTGATCTGTATTGAAATAAGCGATTAAGAATACCGAATCAATATCATAGAAAAAAGGCTGTCGATATAAAACGTGGTGGAAACAGCACAAATGCATTATCATCTTTTATCTCATATGTAGTCAGTTCCAACCAAAGGCGCTCACAAAGTTGCCGAGCTAGCCTCACTGAGATCATTCTTAAGGGAAAGAATACGAATGACCTATGGAACTAAGGGAGATGCCAACGTAAAGACCGAATCCACTGCCAGGAACATGACAGTTACTTTCTCGGAAAGCGACGCTGTTGATATCATTGGAAAGATCAAAGTTAATATTCAGAGTTTGTTCGATGCCTCTAAAGAACGGCAACAACGTAAGTTTCTAAAACTTGTGCAAGAGAATCGGATATCCTTCTCACCAACTAATGTTGACATAACATCTCGCGTTGACAGAAATAATTAGGTTAAAGTCGAACTTGTATTAAGGTAATTCCTCAGTATTGCACTGCATATGTTGACTCTGTGGTAATTACAGGATGATTTAGCAAATTCAACTGGGTTGATGACGTAAATTAGTCACTGTAAAGAATTTAAAAGCTGACTTTTCAAGCGCATTTCCATAAATATTACAACATATAGGTATACTTTTCGCCGTTGTGGGGAAAGTAAGCTTCTATTTCTCGACTAATTTTCAACTAGCACGTGCGAAGAAAGTGAAACGTTAGCGTGCGCAATACCGTAACTTGAAGAATTTTATTTTGATGACGTCACGAAAAACAAGGGTTTTGGAGTGATCCACAACGCATATATTGGGAGCGTTCCAGACGGTGAGTTTTTTTGAAAATTTGCACATGGACAGGATTTTTCTTTTTCTCGCTCTTAGAAAAGATATCTATAATTTTATTCATATATTAATGTAATACGGGTTAAAAACGAAGCGTTCAAATTTTCAAGGGTTCCTCTCGTAACTTAACACCGAGTCACACAACGCGTGACGCTTTCATGAATTAATCATTGGCTTTTTCTCGAGACGTGAGCTTGGCCCGCCTGTGATTAAATGCAAAGTGGTTTCGATGAATTTTAGTTTACGAAATGTGCGAGCGTGGTATCTTTTATTAGATTGCTGTAGGATTATAGCACGTTTATTAAGGCCACAAACGATTAATAACCCCACCCGAGTTATTTAACGGAACGCTCAAGTTATTCAACGAATAGAACTATTTCTATCTAAGTTCGCGATCTTTTTAGCTCAAAAAATCTCTATTTAGTAATTCATTTTACCAAAGAACTCGTGCAAATGCCTACTCCCCTTTCAGGCGTGGGGACCCTTGTCTGCGGCAATCTCTTGTGTCTGGTTCTTTAAATACTCTGGTTCTTTAAATATTCTGACAGTCTCCCCGCCCGGTAAATATTTGGGATCAAAAGGAAAATGTTCTTCTTTCATTTTTGATGTTTGGTTGCTTTTTTTTGCTTTTGATGTCTTTTAACTAAACAAATACGCTCGAAAGTGGTGATAAAAGCGATCTTTTCCTTCAAAAGCCTCCGTTTATTGTCGTCCCAGGAAATAGAACCTTTTCTATAAGCTCCGCTTTTGGACCAAAACCTCCATTTCTATGAAATATATTACCGGAATCTAACATGGCGTCGGTTCGCCTACCGTTAAGAAATCAGCTAGCTTTACACAATTATCTTAATTTTACCTTGTTTCTGCATTTCCTGTTCAAAAGAAATTATCTGACAACCGTCAATATCTTTATCTGAAAAATGAGAAATATGTGCTGACATGCAGATGAAATACAAGTAAAAAGATTATCCTCACAGGTGAGCGGCACTTATAAGCTATTGGTTTCTGGAATCCTTCGACGTCACTTAAATTTGATAGTCTCAAGAAGTTCTAAAGAACATCTATGAAAATTTGGCTAAATATTTCTCACTGCCGGCCATTTGATCCATTCAAGACCGGACTTGGCTTCGATCATGTGGCCACAGCGTAGTGCATAATGATTGATGGTATTGAGATATCGTCGGTGACTCAAATCATATTACTCGTGTTACTCTAATTATTCTATTCTGTTCTCATCGAGCTCTTCTGAAAGCAAAGAAGACCAGAGAACACTTCATAATATTAGCGACGTGCTGTTCCTCAAATATCACACCAGAAATATCTGTAGTATATGCAATGCTTTGAAAGATCGATACTATAACACAGATCATGATAACGGCTTCAGTGAAAATGAGAGCAAATGAGGCGATTGCAATAATTAGAACTTGTAATAAACACTCGTAATAAACTTCACAAAACTAATTCTGATATTCATCATGGACTGACAAAGAAAAGTCAAAGAATGTAGTTTACATTCGTAATGATTTTAACATTTGTAGGCATCCTAACCGTATGTAATAGATAATGATTTGATTAATGGATAATAAAATTAATTGAAGAAGGAGAGAAGAAGGCAACTATTTTGGTTGAAATAGTCTGTACTGTGGTCTGAATTTAGGAGTGCCTGATCAAGGAATGGAATAAGGACGACAACGGTGCCATCAAGCACTTTTGAAGTGTCAAATATCAGTGGATAGCTCAGTTTTATCGCTCTTGATTATTGAAATAAACGTATTAGATAGAATTTCTTAATGCAAGCTGATTTGCGCAGTAATTTTATTTCTCTTTATGCATCTGATGAGGGAAAAAATTTTTCTGGGGGTCAGAGATGTACCATGCAATTACTAAGCTTAACATTCTAACCAACAAGAGAAAAAAAAAACTGTAATAGCTCTGAGGATTAACTGACATTTTTACCATTTAATCCTTAATCTAAAATTCTTACTCTTCACCATACGCAATACTCACGCACTTGCACTGGGAGGTCAATGATGTACTCTGCAACTACTACGAAGGTATATTTTGTGCAATTTAAACTGCATTTGGAACTTTCTAGGCATAACTTACCAAGGATTGGCCGCAACGGTAATCAATTTAACAAGTCACTCTCGACGGTAATTCTCGAAAAGATTAATACAATTAAAGTTGTGTCCGGCGATAACGGAAGTACTCCCTCAACTTTAAGGGGCATTGATGCATAGAAAATGTGCGCACGCAACTCTGTCAGCTTCTTATAACTCAGCAGAAGGTTGAGTGTAATCACCATTATGCATTTTTTGGCGGTGGTTCTAGGTGGTAGCGCATGCAACACCAAAAGAATGACAATAAGAGGTATCCAACAAGGAACGGGTATGTGAAATCTGGCTCTATGATGAACAATCGCATCTCAAAGAGACTTTCGTCGAAAACTGAATCAGTTCTTAGATCCAATGCTTACTGTCTCGAATATAGGACGTTTTGCACATCTATATCATTTAACCCTAATTTCTAACCCATGGAGTTTGTATGCGATTCTTAAGCTTGCAAACAGCAAGAACTTTCGAAAAGTACACCCTGTATTATCAAACGTAACATACTGTTACAAACGCTCAATTTTTTGCATTTCACTTTGTGCAAAATCCGGATTTCAAAATCTACATCGAGTTTTCCCGATCGAAAGCACCAATACCTTGTTAAGTTCTGTCGGTTGTTTATTTCATTCTGTAACGTGCGTGGCACTGAAAATTAAATATCATAGCTGAATGACTTCACTTCGCACAATTTCTTCTTCTCTTCAGGTGCAGCTCTGCTGCTCTTGGCACTTTTTGCAAATTATCAAATTATACCTTCAACCAGTGCAGCTCCAATAGATTGCCAGAGGAACACTGCTGTCTGCTTAGAAGAAATTATGAAGGAACTGACCCAAGTTCGATTTGGGATTAAACTTCTCACGGAGAACATAACATTGGTGAGATGTAAGTGAGACTCTTTTTTCTAATTGAACTGATTATTCCATTTTATCTTCTTCATAATATCGTGTAGCATGAAAAACGGTGGTCATATGCATGGCGATTTCAATTCCTTTCTTGAGGAATCACTTTGCCAGTTTGGATGACGAAATTTCCTGTACGCTTGGAGCTCTTATCTTCAGCAACTGTCTTTTCAAGCTGCAGTGATGCTGAACATTGACCACCGAATAATTTTAAATGCTCCAAACTTTTCTTGAATTCAGTTATTTGTCGAGTTTTTTCAAGGTGACTTTTTTTTTTTAATTCTTGTATTATGATTTGATGCGCTTTTTAAAAATAAAAGATATATAAAGAATCCAAGTCCCGTCGTCTTCTCTCCACGACAGATACTTCGTCAGATGATAGGAGCACATTCATACCAAACTCCCTGTTTTAGAGCATTCCCACAACATCAAGTATCTTTTATTTTATATTTAATAGCTAAAAACTGTGCTGAGCTGTACAAATCCGGTCGAAGGATCAGCGGTGTTTACACAATCGACCCAGATGGTTTAGGCGCCTTCAATGTATATTGTGACCATACAACAGCTGGTGGGGGATGGACAGTGATCCAGAAGAGAATGGATGGCTCCGTTGATTTTAACCGCACCTGGAATGAATACAAAGATGGCTTCGGTAACTTGGTCGGTGAATTTTGGCTCGGACTGGATAAGATAAACCGTCTCACAAGAAACAAGACAAAAAACAAGCTTCGAGTAGATCTGGGAGTAAAAAATGTGAAAACTGTTCACCCTGAGTATAGCTGGTTTGGCATTGGGAACGAGACAGCTGAGTACCAGCTGTACATTGGCAATTTTATAAGTAAGTGACCCGTTTTCTTAGCATTCATTGTTCAATTCTCATATATTACTTCTCTCTCACCTAAATCTTAGAATCAATTTTACTCCACTTTGTCAAATAGTGGTATTATCAAATGGCAAGGTACTCCTGAGGTAAACCTGAACGTTCTGATTGGTTCTTACTCGGTCGGGATTTTGGTCCGAGTGCCACATAATAAACTATTTACTAACCTTATTTTTTCAATTTTTAAAAAAAATTTTTTTCTCTTTTTTTCTCTTTTTTTTGGCGGAAAACGACAAGGTTAAAGCTATGATGGTATTTTACGGATCCTAGAATTACGCGAATTTCTTTTTTTCTGTTTCAAAACAGATGACACTGTTTCCGCTGATTCCCTGAGTCCACACGGAGATTTCGTTTTCGGTACCTGGGATAGAGATCCCGCTGGTTGTACCCAAAAAAGAGGTGGAGGCTGGTGGTATGACAACAGCAGCAAATGTATTGTTTTGTCAAATCTCAATGGTATTTATCCGCGTTGTGGATATAAAACCTGGTCCGATATTCACTGGGGAGGATTAGTTCCTACCAGTGCCGCGAGCAGCGCTCCAACATCAACTGAAATGAAAATTAGACCAGTGGAATTTACGCGCGAGGCCTAAAGTCTACATAAATGAAGTAGTTTGTACAACAGGAAAATATCGATTACCTCTTTCAATCTCTTTAGTTCAAGAGGTTCAGATTTTTAGAATACGCAAATTAGATTAATGGCGGCGTCATTGATTCCACCACATTTTTTTTGTAAAGAAAATTTATTGTAGCCAGTTGGTATCAGAAATGTTTCATTATTTGCAGACTTTTTAAGATTTTTTTACAATAATACGAGTGAAATGTCACCACACAATTTAAGGAATAGAATCTTTTCATCGCACCAAGTTTAATTCAGAAGAATTCTAATGGAACGCCACATGTCATAAGATAGGGTTTATAAATGTTTTGTTCTTAATACTATTGTTCTTATCTTTTTTACTGATTTTTTAAGCTTTGCTATTTCAGTGCTATCATTAAATATTAGATCGCAAAAGGTACCTTAGAATGTAAGTTTTTATTTTGTGAAGAAATACAGACTGCTTTTACATTATTTCTACAGCTATATAAAACACAACTTTCTCTTAAGTTTCCCTGGGAATCGAATTGTCGCAGACCTTCTCCTATGCTCGAGGATTTCTGGGCCTACTATGGTTTTCCACATTTATATTTTCAGTATAGCTTCTTTCGCTTGATCTGACAAATAGTAAAGGTATCGAAGTACACTTCCGGGCCTGATGCAACCGCTTACTTTCGTACAAGTATTAGTTTACCATGTTTCAATGGCTGTTGCAGCATATTGACTGATTAGATACTTCTTGTAAACTAACCTACAAAAACAATTATGTCCCAAACTAGGATAGATATTCGCAAATGGAGATGTGATGATTCATCCCTTACGGAGTTCTTAAATGATATGCTAAACATTTCAAGGGGTTAAAATTTGATTAAGGTGGCAGACAAGAGAACATACCCTAGTTGTCTGCACACTATTCTAAAGAATGATGAGACGGCCTATTGATCAAAGAGGAAAATGAAAAACATTTTATATTTCTTTCTCAAAGTCACAAAGTCGTTTTCCTTGATAACGAACTTAAATTTGAGCGATAAAATCCAGTCTGTTGCCATGTTCGCAGAGGCTGGTAGTTCAGTTGCGAAACACCGTTCGTTTACGGTGATATGTTTTTTGGTCTGGAATAAATACACAAAAACTGGTAGACTATATTTTGTTCGCGCTTATGACTTTCTACAGCTAGGAAAGAACTCCCGGTGTTTGATTAGTTTATTAAGTGCATCATCAAGCCCACTGTGAATGAATGATAAGGTTTCAGTTAGTCTTCTTAACGCCTAACGTATTCTAAATAACTGTTCGTGTGTCTAAAAAGATCTCCTCCTTAAGATTTTGGTCAAATGCGCTGCGATTTCATTAAAACTATTTTATCATTTGTCCCTCTAGCTCTGTAAGTTTTCGGGGAAGTCTATGTATTTGTTGTTCCGGTGTGATTTATAAAAGACACCTCGTCGAAGGTAGCGATCGAAGATACGTCGATGAAATGATATTGTTTCTACCATCTTATCTGAAATTTACACATGAACGTGATAGCAATTGTCTCGTATCAGGATTAGTTCTCCGAGAACTGCACTGATGAGGCCCAGAAGGCCGAAACAGTACTGTCTGCAGTTATATATTATATTATATATATATATATATATATATATATATATATATATATATATATATATATATATATATATATATATGCTCGTTGAGAATGCAGGAAATAATTAAATTAACTTCAGAGAATTGTCTCGTATCAGGATTAGTTCCTTCAGAGAAAAAATTCAAGCAGCTTTAGCCGTCAGATGTTTCTTTTCTTGGTTTGAATGGCGCCCTCTTGCTTTTTTTTCCCACACTAGAGCAGCCTTGTTCACATTGACTTGTCCACAAAAAAATATCGTTTTGAAGTCCAAAATAAGGTTTTTTGATCTGAGTTTTCCGGACTTGAGACTGCATGCCGAGCAGACTCGTTTAGTATAAATACCCTTAGACTCCTGGTCGATATCATTTTAAATTAAACCAAAAGCTATTTTGTGAATAAGCTATTGTTATTCTTATGTAACAGCAATTTGCCATCGAAAGGGCAGAATGTGCTCATAAAGGAAATATGATCATCCATGAGCTGAAACTAAAAGCTAAAGGGCCTTTAGATATAGGAATTCGATAGCCAACGGAAGCTTGACTGGTTCATTTTTGAAGCATTTGATATTTCCATATATTTATCAGTGGTCTGAACCATCTTCTTTGCCCCGCCAGATACAGATATGTCAAAATGGCTGCAAGGTAATTTCATTTGCTTTATTAGAGCAATCAATTCAATAGAGAGCTGCAAGGTTTCGTTCGAAACAACTCGTGATCAAAAATAACCGTGTTTGAAAGTCGAATTTGTTCAGTAACTGACGACGTTTACATAATGGTGAAGGAAAGTTCAAGAAATGTACTTGAACGAATAATAGCATTTTAGTAATTTTAACATTGGTAGACATCATTAACGAGTTTGAGAAGAATTTAATCGACGGATTGATGAGAACTGATCGAAGTAGCCCACAGTTAGGGTCCCCATAAAATTCCCTACATTGTCTTTTCTTACCTTTTCCTTTATCTTTAAGGCTTAGAATCTATGCATTTCATTCCTCTTATCTTTTAAGCACATTTCGCTTTATGTTCATCTGTTTCATTTCCATTAATGACACGAAATCGTGGCCTACCGTTTGCTCACGAAGCGGTCAAAGTGCATACTTATTGAGATACGAATGTCTCAGATTTTGATGAAACATTACTCGTGTTAGACGTGGAAACTGAGAGAGAGAGAGAGTACATTTTTCAAAATAATCTGTTCGAGTAGTCTGCCTTCAAGAGTGCCAGATGAAAGAACTGATGCACTACATCCAATTAAAATTTTAATACGCTGAACAAGAGGAAAAATCATAATCATAGTTTGTCTAGTTGCTCTTAATATTAACTGACGCTTTCACCATTTAACTATAAATCCCATTATTGAATTCGATGAAATACCCACATTCTCATTCTACACTATCGCAGTTCTCACGAACTCGCAGTCTTCAAACAAAGCAAGGTCGAACGGCTCTCCGCAGTTCTCTCGAACTTGGAGTCTTTAAACAAAGCAAGGTCGGCCGGCTCTTAAAAGTTGTTGTTGTCCAGTTAAGAATGTCGTCTGTTACTGCCAGGAAAGTGATATTTCTAGTCCACCAAATCGTTCATTTTCCCTGCCAAACTTTGAGAATGGAAAGAGCGATATCAAAATACATTTTGCACAATTTTAACCGCGTCTGACCACAATTCGGTCATTACTGACCAACGACTGGCTAAGACATTGAGCATCTAAGTTATCTTGGCTTTCGTCTTCTACATTTTCGATAAACTTAAAGCGTAAGCTCTGTCTCTGGTCATAAGAATTTCTTACTTTTCCCAAACTGACAGCAAAAGAGATCTGTTTGTTGTTTCTTATCGTAAATATACGTTACGAAGGCACATAGAGCAACATGAGACGCACTTTTCTTGTACGGAGTGGGAAGAAGGGGCTCTAAAGGGTAATACGATAAGTGAAGCCAGTGCACTCGGCATTTGATAGAGACCCATCAGTCTCGGCAAAACCATACCATCATACGTTTTCTGATTTTCTAAATTTTCTTTCTGCTTCGTAGTCTTCTTTATCTTTTTCGGTCGTCACCTAAAACAAACAAGACTTTTTCTGCAGTGTTTTTGGATAACACTGCATCCAACAACCGCGGCAATCGAATACGAGTAGGTTATTACATCTGGGTCTTTGATATAACATTTGTAGACTGTATATAATTGGATTGTAAATGTAAATTGTATTTTCTTGAAATTTCTGGCAACCTTAATCACGGTGATGTACATACGCGAACTCCTGATAACATACCAAGGAACGTTATAAAACTTCCTACAAGGTTATGTAATCAATATGTACTTCTGCCAGAGTAGCTGTGTTATGGGCTTGTAATGAGATGTTCTAGAATGCTTTTTTCAAGTATATAAGGACTCAGTCATCTAGGAGTAGTTAGTAGCTGTTGTCGACAAAGACCGACTGTCTGGGACGTTCTAGTGAGAAATCTACTGTGATATACTTCGAAGACTTAGCATTTCGAGGAGATTTGAAGACATTGAGTTTGTGCCAGTGGTAAACTAAGTCTGTAGTGGCTAAAAGTAATTTCTTTCAAGGGTAATTGTAGTATTTTCGATAGGAGTCGCAACTTGATAATAATCATTACGCGTTGTTTGATGAAATAGTTGGGTTTGTAGAAGTGAGGTGTGCCTTCTGCCGCTTAGATTATACTGCAACATTTTTGTAACCATAGAACTTTCATGATGTATTGGAGGCATTTTGCAGAGTTATTGAATATTTCATTTGTAGCCTCTTTGAACTTTCCAGATCTCGGCTCGCGTCATTAAATGATGAATACTAAACACTTTTACAGAGCTGATTACTAAATGACGACGAGTAAGGTTTCTTTAGATCGACTCAACAGAGGACATATCTTTAGAATCAAAACGTGGGGTTCCTAATAGAGCTTATGACATTCGCTTACTGGCGCCGAGGTCAAGACATGCTGTTTAAATCATTTAGTTGGGAATCAATGGGTGTTTTTTCATAAGTGTGCGAGCTAATTGAATCGGTGAAATAATTGGTGGCCGTGTTTTCACGTCGCCAGATAAAATTATAATAGTAAATTCGTACGAGCAATTTGAGAGGAATACGCACGCAAACAAATCAATTTGTAGTTATAACGGGACTTAAATGCATACTGTAATCAAATATGGCATAACACTTTGTATTTCCAAACTTGAAAGAAATTAAATTCTCCTCGAAAGGTAGGCTGGTGGATAATTTTAGGAAGAGAAGCTTCAGAGATCTGGAGACGCATGATTATTCACCTAGTTTTTAACGCGAGTGACTGAAATAGACCGCCTGCTCTGTTTCTAATTTGACAGCTTAATCAGATTACTTTCAGTAAATTCTTTTTCACCAGGCAACATAAGTTGCATAATGATTCAGTTAGTGGCTTGAACTTAACTCCAATTAAATTTTACTTTACTAACTCCATTAATATCAGGTAAAGTTGGAAGAGCGACCGGTCTTACAATATTTCCAGTTGTCATATGCAAACCACAAGAAAAATCGTTCGCTAATGCTTATTTTCCTCAAGAAAAAATTTGTAATCATAATTGAATGTAAACAAATGAGATATCTTTGAAGGATTGTATTTTCTTTGCAATGTCATAGTTACTCGTGCAACTGACAAAAGGAAATCAATCATTTGTGGGCCAGGAACGTATTATCCAAGACTACTCTAAGATATTTAACAATTGAAATTATCTTCATTTAGCCTTGTTTGTGACTTTTAAGACTACGGGAAACGAGGCCTTAATTATATATCATTTCAGATTCCGGCATATCGAAGATTAAACACTTTTTCATCATTTAATCACGCATCCGTGCCCCCAGTGTCAACATTAACTGAATAGATAGTTATTGCTTTCTTGTCAATTACAACAATTTACTGCATCAACAGGTATTTATTTACACAGCAATATTTACAGTTAATATATACCTCACAAGTGAATAGTGCTTTTCGTGCGCGCTGAGTGGTTAAGCCGGAAGTGAATAGCAAGTACTATTCAACTCAGAGCAGCCGATGAGACAAAGTCGCGCGTCAAGAGTTTATTTCCAACCATTTTTTGGTTTGTTGAAAAAAATGACCCAATCTTTTGGTATCTCCGAGGAATATAATAAGACAACTATTTACCTCAGTTTCGTTGAAATGATGGATTTTTAACTCTCCAGTATATTAAAGATTATAACCCACACATTAATTTTCGCGCGATTCTATTAGCTACTTTACGTCACGTCATGCAAATTACGGGCATTTATCACGCAATGATCCTTAACTATGTCGATATTTGTCCTCCGATTATATTCAGCTCAAGAGTTTCCCTTTTTGTCTTCATTACTTTAAATGATAGAAAAAACAAACTAATTTTCTTTAGTCCAGTGATAGTGATATGAAAATTTAAGTAAAAAAAATACAATATTTAATTTTAAAACCGTACAGTTTCAGAATTTTAAAAGTTTTCAACTCAAATGTGGCTGCAATTTTTCCTTCACATATCGGTACTAATACATTTTCGTTTGACATAGTTTTGTCAAAATTCGTCCACTGTTTATTACACGTACTGGGCAATGCGATACCTTCATTTGGTCTCATTTTGATTGAAAACGTTTTCATTCTCTGTGTCCTAGCATCAGTTCATTTAACCAAAAACGCGACACAGCAAT